CGTACGTACGTACGTAACGTTAAAACTTAAAACGTAAAACGTTAAAGTAAAACGTAAAACGTAAACGTAAACGTAACGTACGTAACTACGTACGACGTACGACGACACACACACACACACACACACACACACACACACACACACACACACACACACACACACACACACACACACACACACACACACATGACGATAGCAACCGATATTCGCTGACATTACAACCGGCTCCGCACACACAACATTTCCGAACGACTGCGTTGGCGCTCGCAGCGTCGGCTGTATAATATAGCTAGAAGCGAAGAACGGGGGCCCGTCTACTTATTGCGTTAGGGGGTTCGGCTGCGTCGCCCCGCAGTCACTGCTGCTGCGAACACGGCCCCCCGACTGATATCATTCATTGTCACTCACTGCGGGCGATTTATTGACGGTCGTCGTGGAAGAACGGGGAAGTGATTGCGTAGGAATACAACAGTGTATATCGCTATAACAATGTGGGGGAGGGGGAAAGGGTTAACGATGTGCGCTTCCTTCACGGTGCATCCACGCGCGCCGCGGGAACGCACGCACACCGACGTTTCGCTATGGAGCGCACGCACACGCACGCACGCACACGCGCGCACGCGCGCTGCGGGGCGCTTTATTACCTATCTCCGTCGCACAGGTGTTTGAGTCCCTTGCGAAATCGCGAGTTCATGACGACGAGTATGACGAACTTCCAGCATGCGCTGGCGATGGCAAGCCACATCGTCGCGAAATGCACCATCGGGCTGTCTACGGGGCCGGCCGCCTTCTCGTACACCTGCAGCAGCAGCCACGGCAGCCAGCTGAGCACGAAGGCGAGCGTGATCGCGCAAGTCAAGTTGTGATTGGCGTTGCCGTATGGCGGATCGGAGCTCGGCGCCCACTCGCACTCCTTCTTCTTCTCGGCCGTCATCCACTTGTACTTGGTGATGCGTACGTAGATGTAGACATACGTGTAGCCGATCGTGATGAAGCTGGGTGTGACAACGAGCGCCGCCATCGTGACCGAGTACGCCGACATGTGGCTCCAGTCGAGCACGCAGACGGACGCCTCCAGGTAGTAATTCGCCGGCGAGACGGCGGCGAGCGGCGGACAGGACAGCGCTATCGACGCCAGCCACGAGAAGGCGATCCAGCATTTGCAGCGGCCGACCGTCGACGCCGTCTCGTAGCGCGACGGCTTCTGTACGGCGAGGTAGCGGTCGACGCTGATCCACATGAACATGTACACGGTGACGCTCCACAGCACGATCTCGACGAAGGACTCGATCTTGCAGACAATGTCGCCGTATACCCATCGCTGCACGATCGCTGGGTAGACGGACAGCGGTGTGATGAGGATGCCGCAGATAAGGTCGGCGACGGAGAGCGAGACGAGGTAGTAGCCGACGACGTCCTGCAGGCCGTGCGTCGTCATCATGACGGCGATGACGAGGATGTTGAAGACGATGACGAAGAATGTGACGACGACGATGACGACAGTCTCGAGAATCACCTGCCAGCCGTACAGCTGGCCCGAACCGTTGTAGACGATCGCATAGAAAAAGTCGGTCATGTTTACTTGAGCAACGGTCACCGGACAAAACCGAATCCGTATCGGAGGATCGGACTCCGCGATCGGACTCGGTCGTATCCAGATCGGCGACGAACGGCGACGCGGCCAGAATTCGCGAGCTCAGATGGTCAGCTGCGCAGCGACATCTGGCGGTGAGACTAGCGAAGAAGGCTGGCGTTGGCGGTGCTGCCGTGGCGATGGCTCTGCCCGAGTGGCGATGCTCTATGAAAGCGCGGCGGCAGCGGCTGCTACGTCACGAGTGGGCAGACGATACGCGCGCCTCCTCTTCCGGTCCGATTTATCTGTCGACATAAGAATTAGAGAACGTCACGATCGCGCACGATGTAGATTATGCAAATACGTTTCATCGTTATCGAACTCTTTCGTAATCAAATGAAAGACGATGATATCTCTTTAGTAAATGTATGAAATCATGTTCACTCCCACTTCGCGTTTACTACTCAGTGCATCGAAGCCATGTCTTCATTGGCGAATTTCTATCACATTGCTTTTAAATTATACATAAGGTGTTACTATTTCGGGTACAGTATTCGTCCTAGAGGAATCGATTCACATTTATGGCACACATAAACCCGTCACAAGTTGGTGTATGCACTAATTAGGAAGAAGGAAATCTACTTCTGCATTACTGAACGCAGAACTGCATAAAGGCGTAAAACTTGTAAATAACTAAAATGATAAAATGATATGTGTAAAGGTATGTGCGGTGTTATCAATTATACGCCAGACAAGCTGGAAATAATCGGTAAGATAACAATTGCAACCCTTTTTACGCAGTATCGCGATTTCTTATAGAATTAGTCATTGTTATTTAGTAAACAGCGAAATCTGTTAAAGTTGTTTATTTATCAAAAAGGTTTGCACTAGTTTACGAACAAGATCTCAGCAAGTATAATAGCTGTTGGCAACACACACACTCTTTCTCACTCTCTCTCTTTTTCTCTCTTTTTCTCTCTCTCTCTCTCCCTCTATCTATCTATCTATTTTTCTCTCTTTTTCTCTCTCTCTATCTATCTATCTATCTATCTATCTATCTATCTATCTATCTATCTATCTATCTATCTCTCTCTCTCT